CCCCCCCATAACCAATAAAAATATAACCATGAGACAGAAGAAGAGTTTTATAAAATGCTTTTTATTTTAAGCTTCTAGCCCTATTTTGAAGCATCCTTCAAGATCGGTCCTTCACTGCTTTCATAGCAGATGTAATGCAATGAATTACTCTTGGGCCAAGGATGATTTTGAAGGAAGTTGAATCAAGATTTGTAAAATTCAAGATAGATCTTAATTTTTAGCTTTTTTATGCCACAGTCGCATCCTCCTGACTGAAAACAAAAACATTTTTGGCGAAAGCTGGCTACGCCCCTATTGTCCCTACGGAATTGGAGATAATGTTTCACTGCTAGTCTAGCACCCGATACTTCACATAGTATCAAGGGAATTGATTGTACTTTGTACAGGAACCAATTGTATCCCTAGATGTAGATAGAAGAGTTAAGAAGCCCCAGCAAAGTAACCTCCTTTGTATTTATGCACCAAAAAAGAGAAATAGATTTTTAAAATCTCAATATTGGAATCAATTTCACTTTTACTTTATCTTTTAGCATCTCTTTCAACCAGTCAAGTATTCTTGATATTTATGATAAACTCTTTCTGATGTCATAAGTCATCACCTCCATAGTAAGTATTTAATGGAGCTTATTATCATCTTCGACTTCCATGTTATTACATGTATACAGTTGGAGCAATTGAAACCTTGAGAATCAAGATGGTTCAGGATTTTCAATCTAAATTGGTTCTCATTTGCTTCTACCACCTTGATTATGCTTTGCACAGATGACTCATTATTCCTGGAGCAGCATGATCGACAGTAAGTGTTACGCAGTATATGGCATACATTCATGGTTGCGCAGTATTTGTGATACAGGTGAATATGCCATACTCACCTGTGATCAATCCAGGGTTGATTGAGTAAGTTTATTGCACAAGATTGGTGACTGATACTTCTGCTAAGTTAATATATTCTAAGTTAATATATTTGATACACAGTGCTGTTGATTCAGTAATCATTATAATAATTTATAATGTTTAACTTGCTCGTTCAATCTAAGCAATTGACAATTGCGTACTTCCATATCACATTCTCATTGGTTAGTGTGTATGCCATATACCACAGGTGAATCTGTCATACACCGCGAGTGAATATGCCATATTCATTGTGGAATATGACTTATTTTTGTATCGTGATTACCGCGTAACATTGAGTTCCAGTTTTTGTTCCCTGCTAACTGTTATAGTACGTAATAAGCTACTGACTGATAATATCTTGGGATCAACCAATCCACACTCAGTTATCACCCTTGGTATACGCAGCTAACGAAAATTGACCGGTACGGGTCAAAAGCTGGACCGGTACGGGTTAACGGTTTTATTTGAATTTAAAACAGCCATAACTTGCTCAATATTGACTTCCTCGTGTCTAATTTGAAATATATGATGCCTCCCGATGCTTTTAAGTACCCCAATTTTTTACAGATTTTTAAACGGACCAAAACTCTCTAAATGCGCATTTATGCTCTTTTCTCTCGAGAACGACTGTCTCATTTTCACGATAACTTTAATTTAGTACTTTTAACATATAAGATCTATTTTTCCCCATCAAGGTATGATGTAAATGACATGCTATTTACATCTTGTGAGTTTCAATGACGCGCGTTTGATTTTATAAAAATGCCAAACTTTGTGACAAAGAATTTCATCAGCTATTGCCCCGAACCGGTCCGTCTTCTCGCAGCAAGCAGATTACCCCGAACCGGTCCGTCTTCTCGCTGCAAGCAGGATGAAATTCTTTGTCACAAAGTTTGGCATTTTTTATAAAATCAAACGCGCGTCATTGAAACTCACAAGATATAAATAGCATGCTATTTACATCATACCTTGATGGGGAAAAATAGATCTTATATGTTAGACCGGTCAATTTTCGTTAGCTGCGTATACCAAGGGTGGTTATTAAGCATTACTTACGTTTTGTCACTCCCATTGACTTTTTGAATCTGTTTTTCCAAGACCATATGTTATCATGGAAACCCCTTCATAATAAACCTATTCACCAGTTAAAGACATTCAATCCAAGGCCAAGTGACCATGGAATGGCTCATCCCCGAGGATCCTATGGATTCTGGAGTAACGTGTGGTCATGAATTGAATGCAGGAGAAAAAGATTATTAAGATATTATGAATGGCACAGGCCCGCTCAGTTCGTGTAAAACTAAAATATTCATAGTGAAATTGGTCCAAATAATCACGCTCTTACAAAGTTTTGACAAGTTTTCCTTTTTAACGATTTGATGAATGTAAACAAAGGAAGTTACTTCGCTAAAGCCTAACATACACCAATACGGCATGGTGGGACCTCCATTGATTTAAAATTGGGTGGGACCTCATGGAAATCCGTTGGACTTCATTGAGCTTTGCCCGATGGAACTCCTTGGGATTCCTTGGGTATTATTTGGCAAAGTCCCACGAAGTCCCACTGAGAATGAACCTATTCATTCTTTTGGGCATCGCGTGACTTTTGATCATGGGATGTGTCAGCTAACTTGGGATCAAAATGACCTTGACAAAACCTTCTAAACTAAATTCATCATCATTTCCGTGGGACTTTGTGGGATATGGAGGGAGTCGATGAAACTCCATGGAGCAAAGTTAACAAGGTCTCTTGGGACATTGTGGGACTCGATATGGCATGGTGGGACTTGATGGGGCGACTGGGATTCTGCACCATTGGAATATGTTGGCCTAAGGACCAAACTCGCGTAATGTCACATATCATATAAGTAATGTCAACAAACCCAGTGCCACGGAATTGATCACTGTCTTTGAGAGAATGTAAAGCACTATTATTTCCTTTGGCTTCAGGTTCTACAACTAAACAATTTATGATACATATAACACTTATACACCCCCTCCATAAGGTTGGCAACTGCATGTTTTCATATGATTACATATTAAGGTCTGTCAATGTTTGAACCTTGATTTTGTTCCTTATTGCTTTATTCCAAAAGCTTGATGTCTTGTTTAAAATTGCCAAACAGCATGACAAGCTTTAATAAGTGATTCAAAGGGGGACTTCCAGTTACAAAACTTATGATGAGGAGTGTAATATAACATATTATCATCATAATATCTTAACATACCATAACTACATGAACAACATTAGGATAGAATGGCATCTAAAATACAATTTTGAAAAATGTTATAAGTAAACATACATGTATTTCCTATTGCTGACCACACATACCCTAAACGGTTTAATGGGGTATGGCAATGATAAGCTGTAAAAAATATAAAATGGTAGATAATGAATATGTTTAGCATATCATGATGTAACAAATAGTGTTAAGATTTATTTAGAATAACACTTTTTGCTATAATAATGATGCACATTTTCCATTTGACCCTAGCAACAAGTTCAACAACTGAAGTGTTATGTGCCACGCCCCCTTTCTTGAATTTTTAGGGGAAGGTAAAGAGAAAAATCAGAAAAATAGATACTTGTACTTTTTATTGAAACTTATTCAAGAAATATATGCTAACATCATCAGTGAAGTTTTAAACCAGGTTTTATTCACCATAGGCCCTTACTTTTTTTAAACGACTGATTAAATATCGACTGATTAAGAAATTTTGAAGAGAAATTATGTACTTTAGGGACAAATTATCTCGACCAAATTTTGTTGGTTAAGACCCAAACTTTCAGGAATTCTTCATACATGCTTTATTGATCTATTGACAATGTTTCATTATAATTGCAACATCCTGAAAATGAGATATTAAATAGTTTCAAGCATATGGTCAAACTCCGACTCGAAAATAATAAAATTTGCTGACTCAACACTTTTGAGCCTGCTTTGCAAGGGTTCACAAGCTTTTTTTACATGCCTTGGGGTCTCCTACAAGAATCTCAAGTCAAATTGAATCTAGGTGTTTTGGACACAAACCGCCTTGGCCGTAGTACTAAAAGCTTAATGTGTTTTAATACTCAACTTTTTGGCAATTAAAAGTCCCTGCCTGCATTTATTGTCCTGTGCATGATTTTAAAAATCGCTTATCCTATTTTTTCACAAACCTTTTGTTGATTCTGCAATAGATCTATGGTCATAGTTTCCAATGAGGATCTCATAGGCTCAAAGAATAATTCACAAGATACGACACTAAATTGGAAAATTAAAAAAAAATATGACCATCTTTCAAAAATGTTCCTTACACAAATGGTACCTGCTTCCCCATGACAGATTTTGCACTCATTTTATAGCTGAGATCTTCATCTTTCTATTTCTACTTATTTGGTTCGAGTAAATAACCTATGGATGCAGTTATTTGACTTTTAATACGGCGAATATTTTTCACGAGATCCGGACTCTTGTATGTCCAAATATCATTGTACTGATTACGTCACATTTCTGGAACCACGGGAGCACCATTCAGATTTGGACAGATAAGAGTCCGGCGATAAAATATCACTGTTTTGGCCTCTTATCAACGCAGCATTGCTTGAATAACGGTCATTGGTAAAAAAAAGTTAAAGAATAACAAGATGCTTCGAACGAGGTATGATTTGTCTCATATTTTTCAGAAATGGCTCCATAGGCCCAATCGTCATTTTTAAAATTTGAAATTTTCTGAGGTGTCTCATCTTGAGGAATAGGCCTATTTATTGAGCTACTGATCCTACTACAAAATAATCTGGTCGGGATCTATCATCTATGACAAGAGCTTCCGAATTATTCTTTGAGCTTCTGATCCTACTACAAAAAGAATCTGGTTGGGATTTATGTTAGTAAACAGCATTTATTGGAAACTATTGCAGGATCTACAAAATTGTTTTAATTATGAAAAAATAAGGATAACGTTCCAAAACTATGCACAGGACAATATGTAACTACCAAATGCAGGTAGGGACTTTTTATTGCCAAAAAGTTGAGTATCAAGGCGCATTGGTATCTACCTTAGACCAATAAAGTTTCCAGTGTCTTATTTATTACACAAAGCATAAAATGTTTCTCTTTTTTCAGGTAGGCCTACCACAAAAACTACACTAGATCTAAGAATCATTAGCAGCTTTTGGCCTTTAGACATGTTAGAAGACAACTACGCTTACTGGCATATATCAGTGCTACAGATAAGCTTAATCCAGAGGGGGATACTCTACTCTTAAAAATATATCAGAGTTGGCAATGAAAGGGTACTTTGTCACTCAACATTGATTCCAGAGGAAGACAATGCAGCCTAGCAATGTTACAATGTCATTGATACGATTGCTCCTATTTACACTGATACTCCTATCATGGCAAGGTAAGGAGACATTTTATCGAAAACCACGATAAGGGAGTAATCATATACTTAATACTAATTAATAAGTTAGTGTATGGCCCTATTGATGCACATAGTAACAACCTATGATATTTTTTAGCTGAATAAATATGCGATCTAGACGCCTATACACGATTTTACGACCAACGTATTTAAACAGTTGTGACAAAATAGTTAGTTTTTCCTTTCTCCCCATATGACACACATTTTACAGACAGTACGTGTACACAAACTGTTGGGTGTTATTTAAAAGCAAAACAAGTTATGATTATTCTTTAAACTGTTGTATCATTCTTTCAGAATCTGCATGCACAAAGTGATGGGTGTGACGTCACTTAAAAGGAAGTTACCAAGGTTTTCGACATCTAAAAAAGTCACTCGACTTTTTTGTGATTTTGAATCACAGAAAGCATTCTGAAGTTTCAAATTGGCTCCACGTTTAATTTTTGGCATCCGCCTAATGTATACCACTTACATTTAATTGATTCTTTCATAAGTTTCGTCATAATTTCAGTTTGACCAGAAGTATCTTTGTTGCCGCTCGATTTTTTTAAAAAACGTCCCTTTTCTAATCACCCGGATGTGCGGTTTACTTGGACTCGCCCAAAACGAGGGGTGTCAAACGCTTGAAATGTTGAAAAGCAAGCCCAGTTTTCCATGGGAATATACCGTAATTAATAGTTACGTGTACAATATTACCGAGTTCAATGGTGCATAAGTTAGGCGGTGGATCATTTTGTAAGTACGACAATGTGAATTCATGCGACTGTTACTTTTTGGAAGGTTTTTGCAAAAAATCGAGTGACTTTTTAGATGTCGAAAATCTTAGTATTCGAATTTTTTAAACTGATTTATATTATTCTTTCAGTATCTGCGAGCGTAGGGCGTTATTTAAAAGCAACTTCTAATAATTCTTTAAACTGATTTATATCATTCTTTCAGCATATGCGTATTCAGACCGTTTGTTATTTAAAAGCAAGTTATGATAATTCTTTAAACTGATATATACAGGGTGTCGAATAAATAAGGTGAAAGATATTGTAACTTTCTCAATATTGTACCAATCTTGATGAACTTTTCAGAGTTTGTAGCCCAAACCTTTTACCTTTATTCTGAAAGCGTCTTCTATTTGTTTGGCCAGAGTTGTGGCAACCGAAACAACAAAAAGGCGGGGCAAGTTTGTTTACGTCACAACTTTCCAAAACACATTTATTCTTTCTGATAGTTTTATTCATACTCCCAGGTCTATTACTACCACAAATACAATATAAAAACAGTTCTAAAGTTCCATTGTGATGAAAATAAGCTATTCAACAAAATGTCCATCTCTAGGTATACACTTCTTATGCCTATTCATCCATTCTCTAAACACACTTTGAAACCTATTCTTGCCCATTTCCTGAAGTCTTGCTAAGACATGTGATCGAGTTCATCAGTGCTTCCAAATTTATTTCCTCTCAAGTCACGCTTGAGTTCTGCATATAAGTAAAAGTCATTGGGTGCAAGGTCTGGGGAATATGGAGGGTGTGCAAGTAGGGGTAGCCCCAGTGCCCTAATAGTTTCACTAGTGAGCATAACTGTGTGTAAACTCAGATCACATGTCTTAGCAAGACTTCAGGAAATGGGCAAGAATGGGTTTGAAAGTGTGTTTAGAGAGTGGGTGAAAAGGCATAAGAAGTGTGTAGCTAGAGATGGACAATCATTATTTTGAAGCTTATTTTCATAACAATGGGACTTTAGGACTGTTTTTATATTGTATTTGTGGTAGTTATAGACCTGGGAGTATGAATAAAGCTATCAGAAAGAATAAATGTGTTCTGGGATTTTCCGTCCTAAAATCTTGTCAGTAAAGTCTTGTCTACGCATTGTCTTGTCATTGTCTTGTCTAACCGTTTGGTAGATCAATTTCAAATTTTCAGGGATGATTCTCAGTATAAAAATCTAGATCTGATTAGTTTTTGGGCATTCTGGGTAAATGTCAAGGCAGTTATTTTGGATTTTCCGTCCTCAAATCTTGTCTGTAAAGTCTTGTCTACGCATTTCCAGGTGAACCGTTTGGTAGATCAATTTGAAAATTTCAGGGATGATTCTCAGTATGACAATCTAGATCTGATTAGTTTTTATGCATTCTGGATATATGTCAAGGCAGCCATTTTGGATCTTCCGTCTTAAAATCTTGCCCGTAAAGTCTTGTCTACGCGTTTTTAGGTGAACCGTTTTGTAGATCAATTTCAAACTTTCAGGGATGATTCTTAGTATGAAAATCTAGATCTGATTAGTTTTTGGGCATTCTGGGTAAATGTCAAGGCAGCCATTTTGGATTTTCTGTCTTAAAATCTTGTTTGTAAAGTTTTGTCTACGCATTTCCAGGTGAACCGTTTGGTAGATCAATTTCAAATGTTCAGGGATGATTCTTAGTATGAAAATCTAGAACAGATTAGTTTTTTGGCATTCTGGATAAATGTCAAGGCAGCCATTTTGGATTTTCGGTCCTCAAATCTTGTCTGTAAAGTCTTGTTTACATGTTTTCTGGTTAACTGTGTGACGGATCAATTTCAAATTTTCAGGGGTGCTTCTTAGTATAAAAATCTAGAACTGACTAATTTTTTGGCTCTGGGTAAATATTAAGGTGGCCATTTTGGATTTTCCGTCCTCAAATTGTGTCGTTAAAATCTTGTCTACTCATTTTTAGGATAACCATTTGACGGGATCACCCATAGGTGGGGACATTTTGTACACATTTGTGTTCTTGTTTACCCTTGTATAGAGAGATTATAGTGCCAATTTTATGGCTTTGTGGTATGTATTCTAACTTTATCATTGTATTAAATAAATCAGTAATAGCCTTTACCAGTAAACTTCCACCGTTCTTAAAATGCTCATTAGTTAACGAATCATGTCCAGGGGCCTTACCGTTCAGGCTTTTAACAATAATGTTATAAATTTTCTGTGTTGTTACAGGTTCAGATAAAGTTGTATCTTCATTACAGGATGTTCTTCACTCCACCACGGTTTTGCCTTATGTTTCCCTCTTTTAGTATTCTTGCTACTTATGTCCCTAAATGTAAGATTTTCATTCATTTCACAATGTAATATGTCAATGAACTCTGAATATAAATTATCCATGGATTTTTGAGCTTCTTGAGTGTTTAAATGAAAGTCTAAAACATTTGTAAGCGCAGTTCTGCATCGTTTATTTTTAAATAAATCACTGGGTATATTCTTGGTATTATATTTGCGATGAGAAGTAGTGTTTGTTTGATTTTCAGAAACTGGAACTGCCTGTGTTTCCTGAACAACACTAGTGGGAACACATAGGCTAACCTCACTTCAAATTACAGTGTGGTCCACTTTTATGTTATCTTGTATATTATTTTGCATTTTGATGTCAACATATGGATTAACTCCACTATCAATAACATGATTAAGCATCCGATAGGGGCATATAAAATAGTCAATTACTGATTTCCCTCTAGTTGATACACTTGTAAAATTATCATTTTTTGGGTTAATTCTTCCATTTAATACACATTGGCAGCTGTCTTTTAAGAATTCAATCAGGTATTTGCCAAAGGTATTCAATGTAGAGTCAATGGGGATTCTTTCTGGAATTGAGTCAATGTTTTTATCAACGTAATTTTGTTTTCCAATTTTAGCATTAAATACTAGAATAGTATATACATACCCGGATTTGTTGGTTTAAAAAATAAAACTTTTTTGAAATCACTTTTTATGCCTGGCAGCAATAAAATGTGATATCATGGGAACTAACGAAAAACTGCTAAATAGGCTTCGAGTTGATTTTGCCCTTAAAGACCATTTCTTTCCTCATAATTTTACTGGAATAATTGACAACAAATGCCTCTGTGGCTCTACTGAAGATACAAAGCATTTCATTCTAACATGCCCCCCATACCCATACTCCTGCCATACCCATGAACGTAATAAAATGATGACTGTACTTCGTGAACAAAATTTATTGTTTGATACTCAACTTATTTCTAGTAAGACAGAACATTTCACATATTAAATTTATGAAAATGAACTCACTATTAATTCTCAGAAAATCCTGATAGATAAAGTGATGCAATTTGTACAGGCCTGTTATAAGTTCCCATCAAATTAATGTTATTCTCATTTGTATTTTGTGACAACCCCTCTCCCTCCCAACCTCTCACATTACCAATAACCATCTATGATTACTGTAATTAATCCTTTATTGTAATTTAAACTACCTAGAATGCCTATGGCGATTGGTAGTAGATATTTTGTGTATTTTTTGATTATGAAGGAAATAAATAATATAAAAAAGGAATATCACTTTTTATGCCAGCATAAAATGGGACATCACTTTTTATGCCAGCATAAAATGGGACATCACTTTTTATGCCAGGCATAAATAGTGATATCAAAAAATTATTTTCTATAATAACCAACAAATCCGGATATTTGTTACAGTCCATTTTTATATAATCCGCTGTTATATATACACGTATATATATTTCAGCATCTGCAGCGTGTTCAAACTATTTGGGTGTTATTTAAAAGCAAGTTATGATAATTCTTTAAACTGATAAACATTGTACAGACCGCTGGGTGTATTTAAAAGTGAGTTATGATACTTCTTTAAACTGATATATATTGTACAGACCGCTGGGTGTATTTAAAAGTGAGTTATGATAATTCTTTAAACTGATATATATTGTACAGACCGCTGGGTGTATTTAAAAGTGAGTTATGATAATTCTTTAAACTGATATATATTGTACAGACCGCTGGGTGTATTTTAAAGTGAGTTATGATAATTCTTTAAACTGATATCTATCTTTCAGCATCTGCGTGTACAGACTGTTGGATGTTATTTAAAAGCAAGTTGTGCTTATTCTTTAAACTGATATCTATCTTTCAGCATCTGCGTGTACAAACTGCTGGGTTTTGTTTAATGGCAAGTGCTATGCTTTTACTGAATCTTTTATGAGATGGGCTCCCGCGAGATCATTTTGTCAGAAGTTCGGAGACGATGGTGATATGCTTATCATAAAGAGTATAACAGAATTGGTAAGATCAAAATATTGCCTAATCCTGACATCTAAACACCTTTATAGATTTGAGCACACTTGCGATAGAAGAATGACGGTATTTGCTCTAAGGTTAGAACATACCAATGGAAAGCTGAAAATGTCAAGAATAGGGAACTGATAAGAAAATCCACCATAATATTGTAAAACTCAGTCATGTTTACATAGCCCATATTGATGTCATTCTCCTCAATTGTGAAATATTCTTCAATCTCGAGCTCCGCCTTGTCTTCCCAATTCAAAGCTGTAGCATTAATTTAAATTGACATGTTGTAAGTAACTTTGGTTTATACGCGACCTTTTTATGTACAGGGTGGCCATAAATCGTCCACATTTTTTTCATTTCGATATTACCTTTTTCAAAATCCATGGATTTTTTTTTTATTATTTATTTATTTCATTGATATAGTTTAAAATACAATTACAATAGCATCCCTAAATCGCCAGAGGGCATTATATAGGAATGGTGAGAGGCTGGGGGTGGCAGGCAGACAGGGTCCCGGACCGGAGCAGGTGTGACAGGACAACAGGATATCAGAAAGAGAGACATGAGGGAGGGAATTAGTTATTGTCTATAATGAAGTCAAGTATCAGTGAAATGGCTTTAGAGTTTACATCTTTGCTTAGGTTTGGGCTTCCTGTTTTCAAAATGGAGATAAAATCGTACTGGGGAAGATTATTATTGAAAGAAGGTTCTAATTCAGCAAGTTTATCCCAGAGATCCTGTCTTACTAAGGTTAAGCGATTGAACTGGAAAAGAATATGCTTTAAGGTTTGAGAGCTGCCACAAGCACAATTAGGGCTGTCAACAGAGTTAAAATTATGGGCATAAAATTGAGCTTTAAAAAATAAGTCAGCTCTTACTTTATTCACCATTATCTCATGCCGTCTAGAAAGATTGAGTTGACTTGTGGTCAAAATTTTAGAGGGGTTTTGGAGGAAAAGCCGTTGGTGTTTTTTGAAATTATGAAGAGTTTTCTTGGTTTTAATAGAAGGGGGAGCTCTAGCCATTTTGAGATTGCAGAAGGTATTGCTGAGGATGAGAATCTAGCAGAGCATCTTATGGGCATTTTGAATGGATCAATGTATCTCAAGTTTCTATTCCTAACATTACTATACTTATCAAAAATGTCTGTGATATATGAGGGACTTGTACCATTGGCAACTTTGAACATAAAATTATTTGATTGTATTCTACGTCTAGATTCAAGTGTTGGCCAGTTTAGGAGACTTAGGACCTTTTCTGTACTGCTCCCTTGGATGCAGCCAGAACAATAGAGTGCCGCTGTGTAATATAGACTATCGAGTCTTCGCAAAAGAAATTTAGAAGCTGTGCCATATAAAATGGCACCATAATCAAAGTGAGGAAGAATGAATGAGTTGAAGATTGTTTCTAGGTGCTTGCTCCCAAGCTTGAATTTCAGTTTCTTTAATGGGTTTAACATTTTTCTTATTTTGACTAGTAAATCACCAATATGCTTATCATAAGATAAACATGGGTCAAAAATGAGTCCTAAATGTTTGTGCTCGGTATCTCTTTTGATTTCTATATTGTTAGTTTTGAAGTTGACACATTATCAGTTTTTGTTCTAGGTGAGTGAAAAATCATCTCGGAACTCTTCTCCGGTTTAAAATCAAGTTTCCAAGTGTTAGACCATTCTTCTACTTTAATTAGATTGGATTTTACCACTGCTTTCCATGGATTTGAATAGGCAGGGTATGCATAAAACAATTAAACAATTGATCCTGACAAAAGTGGGATAAATAAAGCACTATTGGTACGTTTTTGAGTATTAAAGGTGAGCAGAAATCAGGGGTCCATTTGAAAAGTTATAGATTTCAAAATGTTATTCGAAACAAATAACATAACATCATTTATCCAGATTTTCCAGTTCCGAACCAGTCCATCTAATCTTTCTTATCGGTCTAAATACACTCAAAATTCTCTCATTTCTATCGGAAATATAAATTAAGATTGTATACATCATATACATCAGGTTTCTGTGGCTGGATGTATAAAATGTCAATCTTGAAATGTTATTTGAGGTATGGCCATTGTAATCTGAATTCGTTCCTCAAATCTGTAATTATTTGTAGAGACACATAGTGTCGGTTAACCTTCCTTTTAAAAAAAACCCAAAAGATTTATTACTTTTAATTTTAAAACATTTGTGAAATTGATTATTGCTTATTCTGCAAAAATTTTATGGAAGTCCATGCATCTTAAAAAAAGTATCGAAATAAATAATGGGGACGCTTTTTTGGCCACACTCTGTATGTCGAAAAACTGATCCACTATACGCTGATTATTTCTCTATATATTTAAGAGCTAAAAGAATGATTAAAGGGAATCTTTCGGTGTGATTTGGAATTTTCCACTTTTGAATGCAATAAAAGTATTTCTTAAGCCTGGGACCTAACAATTTTCATATGGTAAGAACTGAGAATCACCTGACTGTGGGACCGATGGATTAAATTATGTAAACAATCACACCTTTTAAATCATTTCCTACAATTGAAAGTAACATTATCATATTATAAACTCGACAACTAGGTAAAAAGTAAAAAGATGATTCGTACTTTGAAAATATTAATTTTCTTTTCCGAATGCGACAAGGAAATTTGAATTCGTCCGGCAATGTTCAATATTATGTAAACCTATTATAAATCATGCTATATCCGCTTACAGTGACTCTTCAAGAAATCATGTTTTGTTTGAAGGAATTTGTCACTCCAAAGATATGTTTTTAGCTTCTAAACTAATATTCATTTCAGAATTTTTTAAAGGCGGAAATATTGAAGAGGTCAAAGTTTTACTGGACTGGTGCAACAGATGAGGGTAGTGAATGTATTTGGCGATGGGTGGATGGAAGCCCATGGGACCCTGCAATTGGGTAAGTAATGTTATGGAGTTAATATTTTATTGGTCAGAATCTACATGTGATTTGTGTTAATTACAGCCTGTATTGTATTGTATTGTATTGTATTGTATTGTATTGTATTGTATTGTATTGTATTGTAATGTATTCTATCCTTTATTACCACAAGTGTGTATTGTGAGTTCATTTATAATTTTTATTTTGCATTAACATGTTTACATAAAATCACATTTGCATAAGCATATTACGCTTTGCATACATTAGGAATACAGCTTCGGCTTTAAAAATCATTGCTTCATCATTGTCTGATTTGAGAGTTTAAAATATAATGTCATCATAACCAATTCTAAATAAATTGAGAAGTGCAACTCTTTCCGCATCTATGGAATTGCAGAAACGTAAAAAGTGATCCAATGTTTCTATTTCACCAGTATCACATATATTACATTTTCTGTCACCCCATTTGTTATTTCCATTAAGTGTTTGATTCATTAGCAGCTTGACCATTAATTTGCAATATTTTAAATCACTAGGGTATTTGAAACTGAGTGCCCCCATTTAAGTGGCTGGGCAAAGCATTTTACACTTACATACAAATGTGTTGCACTTTTTAAAGCACATATATTCATAAACGTTGCATTTTGGCTTTGACGTAGCCTGCCTAAAACTAATATTCGCCATATTCCCTTTGATGAGTAGACAGTACACTTGTGAATATCATAATAGTTGCAGCATCTTAAAGATTAAATCTGCTTAAAACATTCCACATTGTATTAAGTGGTGACGCAGCACCACCGTGACCATTATATTGGGATTCCGTAGCTCGATAAAGAAAGACCTGCTTATAAATATTTTTACTGGTAGTGTTATCAACATAAGGAAGAACATTAATTTATCTAAGGCGATTTTATACTCGATGTCCATCCAGCTCAGTGGATCAGTTGAAAATACATATCAACAAATTTAGGAAGACATTGAATGCGTTTTCCAATCTGCCTGTGGGCTGCCTGTGGGCTGGTTAATTCAACATCATTATTCGAATAAGAAATGATTGAACTACCGTATAGCATTGTAGGGATAGACATCGTCAAATAAAGGCGTGGTGCCGGTAGAGGATTGAGTCCACCACAAGTACTCCCCAGACTAAATAGAGAGAAATATTTCCTTTTACCAGACGTAACGGCCTTCTCGACTTATTCGGAAACACTTCCACTAGTTGATAAGGGTATACCTACATGGGTTTGATTTTGTACAATAGTCACTTGCTTGTCGCAAATTTTAAACATAGGCTGTACAGCATGGTGATTATTTCCAAAAATCATGACATTACATTTATCAGGATGGATGTCATACCGCCACTTAATTACGGCTGTGATTGTATGCCAAATTTAGCACTGCATTCATAGATGTCGTGCTTGTAGTAAGTAGTGATGTATCATCGGCGTAAACTGGACATGTGATATCCAATCCAACCCACCAACTGAACGATTGCAATTCTAGGATTATATGATATTGTAGCATGTGCCGCGTTGTACATGGTGATGATTGTTAGAATATTATTGTTAAGAAATTTAAATGGTGGCGCCATCTGGAGTATTGTGTAATTTGAAATTGTAAAATGAATTCTGGGATATATAGACAGGAATAAGTCGTACATAGTGGCACGGACTGTGAAACCTTGTATAAGTGTTAGAATAAGGGGTTTATAAGTAAAAAGTGATTTGTACTTAGGTTTATTAGCAAAAAGATGCAGGATTTAAGTTCTTCACATTTGCAACAAGAACAATATGCACCCATTGGCGGGTAAATGTACAGTTATATGAAATTCGCCACTAAATAAGTGAATTTATTATCACACATAGGCGTGTGCATGTACATGCATATGTTATTGATGCAATAAGGTGGAGTTTCAAAGTTACTTCTGTTTGTAAGATTGAGTATTGCAGAGTTTGCTAAATTTGATATGAAACTAATGTGAATGCATTTGGGCATAAATTATAATGGCAGGATCTCTGTAGTGGAAAGTTGAATTTTAACACCTTATAGGGTATAAGTTGGGGATAAGTAGGAAAATCAGGATGCAACTACTACACTAAGGGCTGATACTGAGCCGGAGTAGATGCTTTAATTTTACTGGTGGTGACGTTATGCAATATGCCCAGACTGGATCGGGGCATAATATCTGGATAAGGAGGACTTCAGCAACCTGCAGGAATTCATATTGGAACTCTTAGATTCTAATCTCTCATCAAATAGATTAATTCACTGACAAATATTATTTTATGTACATTATATACAATTTATTTACAATTCCCCGCCCCCCCATTGATTACATGTTGGCTTACATCTTGTGTTAAGTTCTCAGCAGGTTCTCAGAATACAGGAATTGGTGTCTAGTCTGGTCAGTGTTAGAGAGAGAATCCCCGATAATATTTCCGGGCCGTATTTAAATATGCCGCCAAACTAAAGACGAAATAATTCTTAGATCACAGATCACGCATGCGTATATGTACAATTATTTATATGGTCCTTCCTTGAGCATGCGTAACTTTATGATTAATTTTAATATTGCGACTTGCGCATGCTCAGCTTTACAATAAATTCAAACATCCTGCCTTGCGCATGCGTTAGGTTAAAGAAAATGGCGGCGCCCATGGAAATATTAAGAATTATGAATTTTTGTCATAGATTTGAATATTTGAGACATATAATGACTAGAATGATAGTTAAATACAATAATAAAGATAGAGAATGGAACATTAAATTGAGAGGCACTAAAAATTATACTGTAGAATACGCAATGACGATAAAATGACACTTAGAATAGAAATTTAGAGCTAGAAATTATTGAGATGAAAAGTAATTAATGGAAACTCAAAGAACGAAGGTAAGGAACGGGAGGAAATGTAACACAGAGATAATATTATTCATTCTAATACCCTGCAAATGCTACAATATATTAATTATATAATTGGTACATAACATAGAATAGACCCCCGCCCTGATGAACTCCTTGAAGTACACAGAACGGAGCAGAGAGTGTGGATCCACACGTACCATGCACTTGTAATTTTTGTAAGATTCTCGAAGGAGTCTCCACACTTTACCATTTATGGCAATGTTAAAAAATTAAAAAGAAGCCCGTTAAGCCACATAGTATCGAAAGCCTTACGGATATTAATTGTAGACAAGTATACATTATTTCCTCTGTCAAGATTATGAGCTATTGTCTCTTGTACAATCAGGGATGTATGGATCGATGAGCAATTAGATTGAGATGCCCCTTGGATATTTCTTAAGATGACTGGCTTGCTTCTGATCAGAAGTATATTATCAAAGACCTTTCTAAGAACAGACATGAGGGTAATCCCCCTAAAATTGTCTTTTTCTAATGATTCCCGGATACCAGATTTGAAAAGAGGCAATAGTATACCAATTTGAAAGTTGAATAAATTCAATATCAATAATGCTTTGAAGCAGGATCTTAACTACCTGTTGGACCTGAGTACCACCATACCTTAGTGCTCTGCGGAAACGTTGTCAAACCCAGTAGCACGTTTTTCCTACTCGTCTATAAGGTTAAGTGAATGTAATATGTTTTTTTATGTAATGTCATCCTCCGATCACAGGGCTTCAAAATCTTGAATATATTCTTTCATTTTACCCCCTGTAATAAGCAGTTAGCATTTCCCCGATTAAGAACTCGCAATCTGATTGGCTGTCGACAGAAATTGACAGAAATCATGTCATTGCACATAATTAGATCACGTGATTCAGGTTAACCGGGCGCTTCCAAATTGGTTATAGCAGGGGGAAGAAGGGGGTACGGATTCTGGATACCTGCCTAGGAGGATGTGTAGTGTTTGAAGATAGAAACCCGATGATTGAACACCTATAGTGCATATGTGTGTGCTTTTACGAAAAGTACAAAAAATAATTCCAATATGTTATATAAAGATAAATATAGATAATTGAAGTAAAATATTTTTTGCTTGAATCTAGCAATCATTTATTCTTTAATGGCCGTGGTGTTTTAGTTGTCCTTGTAAATGCTGAGGCAATATAATATTATAAAAAATGCATGTGAAGTACCAGAGTCACTGGAGAATTTCGGAGGTACGTAATTGCCTCCCTTATAAGATCTCTTATAATCATGGTTTTGTGTGATACGAACAGTGTGTATTAGGTGTGCCAAATTAAAAAGGTGAGGCAAAAGTTGCCTGAGGTTAAGTCGAAAGGGGGTTGAAATACTTTTTTTTTGTAAAGTCTTGGCCGGTGTTAAAGGGTAGGAGGTCCTATCAAATTATGGTCCTACTTTCAATTGATTTATATGGTGACCTAAATACAACTCTTTCCCTTATTATCGTATCCACAATCAGGGCCAGTAAGGGCATTGAAGAAAGGGGGCCATTATCCCCAGGGGACCATAATTTCCTTTTCACCGGGTTTCAATGTTCTTGTACAGGCAATGTGGTGAAAATTTTGACCTCTTTATATGTCGTTTCAAATTCGTTAATTATGCGTTATAAATTATTCTATTTTCAGAAGCCAGATGTGGTGGCAAGCTGATGGTAAACCAAGGTCAGACATTAAGTACAATTGCGCATATGCTAGAAATGTTGGCGACTGGGACAGCATGGATTGTGCAAAATCAACTCGAGCTCTTTGTAAGAGATCACTAGGTAATGCCTAATGCCTGTGTCACATTTGCTCCGATTTTCACTAAAGCGCCCGGCCGATTGAGTATTTTGTTCAAAATTGAATATACAATATTGTGCAAAACATTCAATCGGCCGGGCGCCGGCCGATGGATCGGAGCAAATCTGACCCAGTCATAACAGCAAGATTATAATTAGATTATATTAGTCATATTATATAGAGTCTATACCACTCTACTATACCTTGTATTGGGTGTTCATGAGCAACCCTTTTGGCTTATTAGTAATGATTATGTTATTTGTTTTTATTTGTCTGTTCCTTATGAATGGTTTATCGAATGACGTTAGATGTAAATGAGGTACTTTCAAAAATATACTAAACAATACAATTAGACAAACAGAGTGTCTTGTGCATTTCTAGGGGCTAGGTATAGTAGAGAGATATTATATAGAGTATTTTCTCATCTCATTTTGCAGTCACATTTAAGAATGCGAAAGAAAATAAACATATACACACTAAACTATAGTCCTTATACATCATTAAATCGATAATTACTAATTCCTGATAGATGAGCTCGCCAATTTCAGATAGTAATATCTTGGTTGTGTGATTCTAAATAGAATGAACTCAATGCGATTTTTCTAAATACGACAAATACTTGAATTTGACAGATTTTGAATCCTGACCACTAAAACATGTAAAAGGGATAAAACAGAATATGGATTCCACAGCGCAGAATTTGTGTTGACTCAACAGTTATTTTTATTGACCAGCTAAATCTCTCAATGACCAGGTGATTTTATAGTTGACCACCTCGAATTTTAATACTGCTGGTCATGATGACCAACAGGGAAATTTGGCTTAAGGCGTGCCCTGGTGTTGAGACAAATAATTCACCACGAATATTTTAACTGGCACTATTGACATAATGTGCACACGATAGGTGTAATATGTGAATAAGTAGTAAAGCCCTCATATAAAGTTTAAACCACTTTGGCTTATATTGTGGTCTTACCTAATGTTATCAAAGTGTCATATGTAAAACTTTTTATTTTTGAAGGACTTTTTGTTCAAAAAATCGTGAATTTCTTTAAAACTAACTTCTAGAGGTTACCTGTATCTTTTAATAAGGGATAATTCATACCAATGCACAGTTTTCATCCTCATATGTTTTTGCCGAAAAATTAAGAAAATCGCTCTACAAATAAGCGAAAAATGAACTCATCAATCCATGAAAATGATTCAGAGAAAAATGCATTTCAAAATTTTAGTTATCATAGAAAACAATGGTACAATAATATCTAAAATATTATGTATTCTTCCTTTTAATCTGGTTAGACAATCAACATTGATTTACTTTTGAAGTTTAGCATATTTAGAAAAGCTTCACATAGAATCAACATTTTTTTGCCATCTGAGTGAGTCATCGATGACATCATATCGAAATATTTTTGATATGCTACGCGTAAAACATTAAAGTGGCACATTAGATAATGGTATTTTATTATCGAAATAGTGTGTCCCTCGTTCAATATTTGCATAGGTGTTAAAACATAATCTTTTTTGAGATGTATGGCAGAATATTTGATTATTAAAAAATTTCAACTTTTTCCAATTTTTTTTTTCTAAATATCTCTAAAATAACTTTTCGTAAATAACAAATCGTAAATGAATGATAAAAACTTATTTTCAAACATTACACGGAGTCTTTAAAAACAAAACAAAATGTTGAGATTTACAAAGGGGCGCGAGTTGTTTGTAGAATGAATCGGGGGATTTTTTTCATGAATTTCGCTTATGTTTTTCATCCAAAAAACATCAATACACTTTAAAAAAATTTGTTTACTTTAAGATTACACCATGTAATCCAAAAATATATTTCTCATTTTCAAAGATAATCCATGGATTAACACCCAGGTATTTTTATTTTTCAAACTTCAGAGGGCTGGGAATAATTGATGCTCAACGCTTTTGAATACGATAAATGCTGTTTTAAATAGGTTTTACGTATGCCAATAATTTCTCAAATTATGTAAGCTGAATGCATTCCATAATCCCTAGAATATTCTCTTGGAGGAATCCAATGGTAGTTCCAAGCAGATTTTTAGATGGCAGGTAAGTAAATTCTTTAGTACTTGCCTTATTGGGTTGAGTTAGTTTATATTAAAAAATTATATATGATTCCGTAAAGATGTCAGTGTGGATGCTATATAGATTGCACACGTATGGTAAGCTGTATAATCCTATATTATGTAACACAAGTACATTTTTGGTTGACATGATTGTGACTGAGTGAGAGATTAAACTCTTTAAGGTAGTTCTGCATGTTGATAATTTTTACTAATTTTGGTGATGAATAAATTATCTGATAATTATAAATTGGGCAATATTTTTTACATTTTAAGTGGATATAAAGAATTATGGTAACATACACCATGGACCATGCATACACATACAATTACAAATGTGAAAATATTGTCACTCATTGATTATCGGTATTTATAATCATGAAAATTAGTGAAAAATATCGAGACATATCTACCTTAAAATCAGATTGGCTTACAAGTACCCTAAGCTATTTTCACATTTTTATTGCAAGAAAATCTTTTTGCAAGGGTTACAAAGGTTGAAATATTGTGCTGGCTCTATTTGGCTGGAGTTTAATATTCAGACCTAGCTATGTGTGAATTGATTATCAATCACATTGTACATTATAATGAACATAATAAATAAAACCATGAATGTTGTTCATAAATCAAACTGGAAACACAATCTTCATCAACATCAATTATGGATGGAAAGGCAGTACTTATTTATAAGACATAAAGGATCTAGTGCACCCTCCATTATGATCTCCCCATGAACAAAAATAAATTCATCTGATTTTTCAAAATAAATTCATCTGATTTTTCAAAATAAATATACTGCTTTTCTTATTTCATTTATATGTACACGAGTATCTTGTTGACCTATATTCAGCACTGTATTGATGAACGGGCCACTTATTAGGGCCAATATTCAATCATAAAGTGTACAGGGGTAGAGATGCCAAACCAAGAAGTCTTTTTGTGTCTGTCAAAATCCATTTGCATCCTACACATCCCAACATATTATCCAAATATGTTATTAATTAATGAAATATAACAGTATAATCTTTGGATTTACAAAGTTGTATGGGATTTCATTAGTGTAAAAGTTGCTTTTGAAGCATTTTTCTAAAAAAATGTATAATCTTTTAATTTGAAGTATGACCTGAATCGATTGCAAACTTTATATTTGCACATCTGATGTGATATACCATTTGTGTCATACTGTGAAATTATTTAATTTGCAATCAATTCAGGTCATAGTGTATTTTAGATATTTTTGTGAAAATCAATAGAAACCAATGGCATCCATTGGAATCTGATGATATCCACATGTTAAGTCAATGGAGCCCATTCAATGGCAAGTCAATACACCCTTGCTGAACTAAATGACCTCAACCTCAGTCCACGTGGGTCCAAACGCTCAAATATTTTCCACATTATTATGTGACATTGTATTCTTTATGTTACACCTAAAAATGATTCATTTTGTTCATGGGGATTTCATAATTGAAAATGCACTAGACCCTTATTGTAATTGTATGATATCGGCTTTGTGATTTGAATATACACTGTGATATTTGAGAAAAAGAATGTTTTGTTTTAGTTTCATTGCAATTTATAACCCTAATATCTTAAAGCCAGAATCCTTCCTTGTCTTCCAATTTTCTAATAACCTCAGAAGTTCCTACTTTTTCAAAAAATACAATTTTCCATGATTATTTTTATGTCACCACCACAAGTGGTGACATATTGTTATGGTCTCAAACTTTTTTGTGGACGGTGTTCAGTGGTTGGTGTTTGGCAGTTGGTGTTTGGCAGTTGGTGTCTGTAACAAATGTCAGGTGTTGACATTTTGCATGTGAATGCCTTGTCTTATAATGTAGCCAACTGCAATGGATGTAAAACGGATACAGTTAACTAATACATTTCTTGGCATTAATTCAAATCATATGCTAATTTTAAATGAAAATGCTTTTTTTTCATGTTTTACCACTCATAAATGCCATAATATCTCGATGTAACATTCAGGAAAATATGGCTATCAACAAGTTTTGAATTCTTACAATCCTGGAAGTTGTGCATGTAAGCATACACATCTGTCAGTTCAGTTTATGTGTAAAAGTTAATCCCCTAGGCCTAAGCCTTAATACCTGATGCATGAAATATTATGGATGAGTTACATAATATGTACTTGTGCTATTTAGGTTAATGTTGTGCTGTTTCACCAGATTTGACTGGCATCTTTAAATAACAACAATTTGATTTGATGATCAGACAGCAACAAAACATATTAAGGGGCCAAGACAAAAGAATGTTATATGATAGGCATTCTAGGGATTAAGAAATGCATTCAGCTTACATATTTTGAGAAATTATTGGCATACGTAAAACCTATTTAAAACAGCATTTATCGTATTCAAAAGCGTTGAGCATCATTGATTCCCAGCCCTCTGAAGTTTGAAAAATAAAAATACCTGGGTGTTAATCCATGGATTATCTTTGAAAATGAGAAATATATTTTTGGATTACATGGTGTAATCTTAAAGTAAACAAAATGTTTTAAAGTGTATTGATGTTTTTTGGATGAAAAACATAAGCAAAATTCATGAAAAAAATCCCCCGATTCATTCTACAAACAACTCGCGCCCCTTTTCGATGTATTCAAACAAAATGGTCTGGAATAAGTTATTGACGGCAATGTACTCAAAACAAGAGTACACTGTCTGAAGTCTGCTGCGCTTTAAGTCGATGTCCTCTGAATGTTACAAATCGTTTTAAATTTGATATGCAGGCCCGTAAGACACTTTTCTTCAAGGGGGTGTGGTTTTTACTAAAGAGAATATGAAATTGTCAATTTTTGGCGCGTAAATCAAATCGCGTAAGTCAGAGGGGGGGGGGGGGTCGGCTACTCCCTATATTGGGGCCATTCAGCCTATTTTGTAGTATTTTAATGTTTTTAGACTAAATATTGAATGAGCAATTTGGAGAAACACTGGAATAGGGGGAAGGTGTGCTAGAAGGGCATAAATGTTCACCCGAAACTTTTTAACGGTTCAATCATTTTCTTCTTAGGGGAGCAAGGGGGCAGCACAGGAAAATTCTACCAATTCAAGATGCTGTCTGATTAATTCTGAGCACTTTTAATGTGTTTGAGTAAATGAACGCTTTAGTTTTTGGGGTGGGGTGCCAGAAATTTTTATGATTTTATTATGTCACTTGGTGACTGTTTAAATGTCCAAACTGTCCAATTGTTTTGTATGGGGTGTGCAGAGTGGCCCTCTCCCCCATAGAAAATTTTACACTTTTTAGATGCTATTTGGTGCTTTCTGGGCACTTTCAAAGTGTATGAGTCAATTAAAAAAATGAGAATTCTTTTGGGGGTGTCAAAGAGGATGAGAGGGTGAAGTGTAGGGTGCCAGAGGGGGACCAAGTGGTTGTCCCCCAGAAACATTGACCATATCAAGGTGCTATTTGATGATGTCTGGGCACTTAAAAAATGTCTGAGACAATAATTGAAATTCAGATTTTTTTTAATTGTTTTATTTTACAATTTAAAGATGATATTTGGTGCTTCTGAGCACTTGTGTATGAGTCAATAAAGTTTTTTAAAAATACTTGTTTTTCTAAATTTTTGAGGGTTGTCAATGGAGGGATGGCAGAGGGAGAGGTTTAATGGGGATGCCAGAGGGCGAGTAAAAATCATTGACTATATCAAGGAGCTATTTGATGATGTCTAGAAACCTTAAAAGTGTCTGAGACAATGCAAAAATTCAGAATTATTTCAATTGTGAGGGGTGGCCAACTCTCCAAGAAAATTTTACAATTTTAATATGCTATTTGGTGCTTTCTAGGCACTTTAAAAGAATATGACTCAACAAATTATATGAAAAAATCACAATTTATGTTTACCAAAATAGTAAAATGTAAATATATGCAAAAATCGTGAGCAGAATAAATGTTGTATTTTGGTAAATATATCTATCAAATAGAAAACGATGAATGATGTGCGCAAAGTTGTTGCTTATTGTCCTGGAATGTTATTTTCTAGGCATGGGCCTGGGTCTCTGGACGACTTGGGGAGCCTGTTCAAAAACATGTGGAAATGGTAATAGAGTTCGAACTCGATTATATGATAATCCAACACCATCTAATGGAGGGAATGATTGCAACCACAATGATCTGATGGAAACCAAGTTCTGTAAACTAATAGATTGTCCTGGTATGAGAGAATAGAGTATCTGACGTAAGAAATGAACTCAATCAAGCGTGTCCTTTGAAAAACTAGAAGAAAATTGAGTATCAAAAGGGATGTCAGAGTTGACGTCAGATATGGACACTTTGCAGTAAAAAACAATTTTGTTTTCATCATTTTCACTAAAAATGAGATTGATTTGCAAACAATTTTAACCGTATGTTAAAAGTCTCATCTAGTTACTGAAAAGTGAATTAGTTTCGAGAATATGCATCCAAGGGCTAACAGACTAGCTGTTCAGGAACCGGATGTAAATTATTAACATACAGGTAAAATGTTTGATTCAAACCAACCTCATTCTTGGTAGAAATGATGAAGAAATTATGATTATTTCCCTCAACAGAAGCTCGTCGTAACGTCTTCATAACCAGTGGTGTAGGAACTTGACTGTTTAATTAGGGCGACGGGTGTTTTTTCTAAACTTTGACATCCCTTTGATACATTAACAGCCTTTTTAAAAAAGCAAAAACAACATGTATGAGTTCATATCTGACAAGTGCTCAAAGTGTTTTTGTAAAAACAATACATTTTTCTTTAAACCGTAAGTTATTAGTTAATAAAAGATCAAAAAGAGGATTGTTTACTCTTTGATTGATAACGAACAATTTCTCATCGGCCAGAAATATTCTATTTGTGTTTTTATTGTTCTTCTTAACCATGGCTAATTTTAGTCAATGGAGCTCCTGGTCCTTGGACAGCATGGGTACAATGTTCTACTACGTGTGGAGATGGAGAGAAAATTCGCACCAGAGAATGCAACAACCCCGCACCAGCTTATGGAGGGGATGAATGCAATGCCAATGATTTGACAGAGAGGATGCCCTGTAAAGCCCAAGAGTGCGCTGGTATGCTATTAAAATATTAGACGGTAGAAAATGGCCTTTTGACAATGATATGGATTTTAATAAAGTTTGTCAAATTAGTAACATACCCAACACTACAGGTAAAACCTTGATAGATGGTCCTAGTGTAATATATCATTGGATAGGCCAAAACGTTACATTAACTCACACACTCAGAATTTCTGATAAAATGTTACCTATATCTTTATGTTGCCCTTAATATATACTGTAGTGTGTGCGCCCCTCCAGCTTTTATTGTAGCAGCATATAAAAACACCCCCTCCATAAGTTTGGCAACCTTAGCTCCCCCATTGAACTACGTGTTAAAGCCTCTTTACGTTTGAATTTTTATTTACTTAACCGGCGATGAAATAATAAACTTATAATATTGATGGAAACGTAACTTGACTTTATTTCCAATACCTCCAAATTTTATCAATTTTTTTCAATTGAAATACGTTGAAAATTGATGATAAATTTGATGAATTTTTGAAAATCGTCATTCCCATGTAATCCAATGGGAAATGGAGGTTTCGGAGCAAATCAGAAATCAGGATATCTTTTCAGTAAAAGATTCAGCAAAAAGTATTTTCATATAGACAATTGAATTGTCTAAATTTTTCTACACTAAGTGTTTAGTTTATTTGATGAATACTAAAGTCGATGGAAAAGTTGATCCTTTTGAAAAAAGGAAAAGCAAGTTAAAATGTTTCCATCGCCGTAAATTGATAGTCAGTCTCTAAAACAAAATGGATGAACTTCAGCCAGAGGAAATTTTATTCTCATCATTTTCACTAAAAAGGAGATTGATTTGCCAACAATTTTAACGTATGTTAAAAGTCTCATCTGGTTACTGAAAAGTGAATTAGTTTCGAGAATATGTCTCCAAGGGGTAACATAATCGTATGGGAAAATTATTGCTTTGGCAACCAAGGCGCTATGAAATTTACAGGACATCATTTGTCAGGAATTGCTGGATGTATTTGCTCATGACTGACTGGCTGTTCAGTAACCCGATGTAAATTATTAACATACTTCTAGGTAAAGTATTTTGATTCGAACCAACTTCATTCTTGGTAGAAATGATGAAAAATGATGAATATTTTCCTCAACATAAACTCATCCATTTTGATATAAAGACGTAACGTCTTCATAACCAGGTGGGGACCAGTGGTGTGGGCACCTGACTGTTTAATTAGTATTTTTTCTAAACGATGACATCCCTTTGACACATTAACATCCTTTTTAAAAAAAGCAAAAACAACCTGTATGAGTTCATATCTGACTAGTGCTCAAAGTGTTCTTGTAAAAACAATACATTTTTCTTTAAACCGTAAGTTATTAGTTAATAAAAGATCAAAAAGAGGATTGTTTACTCATTGATCGATAACGAACAATTTCTCATCGGCCAGAAATATTCCATTTGTGTTTTTGTTGTTCTTCTTACACCATGGCTAATTTTAGTCAATGGAGCTCCTGGTCCTTGGACAGCATGGGTACAATGTTCTACCACGTGTGGAGAGAAAACCCGCACCAGAGAATGTAACAACCCTGCACCAGCTTATGGAGGGGATGGATGCAATGCCAATAATTTGACAGAGAGGATCCCCTGTAAAACCCAAGAGTGCACTGGTATGATATTAAAATATTAGACGGTAGAAAATGACCTTTTGACAATGATATAGATTTTAATAAAGTTTGTCAAATTAGTAACATACCCCATACTACAGGTAAAACTTTGATAGATGGTCCTAGTGTGATATATTATTAGATAGGCCACAACGTTACATTAACTCACTCACTCATTTCTGATAAAGTGTTACCTATATTTTCATGTTGCCCTTAATATATACTGTAGTGTGCATCCCCCCCCAACTTTTATTGTAGCAGCATATAAATACACCCCCTCCATAAGTTTGGCAACCTTAGCTCCCCCTTTGAACTACGTGTTAAAACCTCTTTACGTTTGAATTTTTATTTACTTAAGCGGCGATGGAATAACTTATAATATTGATAGAAACGTAACTTGACTTTATTTCCAATACCTCCAAATTTTATAAATTTTTTTCATCAATTACAATAGGTCGAAAATTAATGATAAATTTGATGAATTTTTGAAAATCGTCATTCCCATGTAATCCAATGGGAAATGGAGGGTTCGGGGCAAATCAGAAATCAGGATATCTTTTCCATAAAAGATTCAGCAAAACGTATTTTTATATAGAAAATTGAATTGTCTAGCTTTTTTGTACACTAAAGCTACGTTCACACCAACGGCGCTTTGATGGCGCTTTAAAGCGGCTTGTAAAGCGGCACAAAAGCGTAACAAAGCTTGATTAAAGCGTCGGGGTCGTAATACGTCGTAGAAAAGCTCGGGAGTAAAGCGGGATATTCGGCAAGAGCGCTAAAAAATTTAAACTGTTTAAGCGTTCGCACCAACGGCGCTTTGATGGCGCTTTAAAGCGGCTTGTAAAGCGGCACCAAAGCGTAACAAAGCTTGATTAAAGCGTCGGGGTCGTAATAGGTCGTAGAAAAGTTCGGAGTAAAGCGGGATAGTCGGCAAGAGCGCCAAAAATTTTTAAACTGTTTAAAAATTTTGGGCGTTCTGTTACGAATTGATTAAAGCGCCGAGAGCGTATCAAAGCTTAAACAACCGTAACAAAGCTCAGCAAAGATTGACCCAAAGCGTAGGAAAGCTTAACAGAGCTTGGTTCAAAGCGGGGACCCCAGTCTCTTCACGGTCTGTTACCACTTTACACGCTTCGTTAGATGTCTTAAGATTTGTTACGATCTGGCATGAAGATCTGACACGAGGTCAGACGCTTTCATCAATATCTGACACTCTTTGTTACGCTTTCATGAAGGACTCTCAAGCTTTCCAACAAATTGAGACGCTTACATCAAGAATTGAAACGCTTTGTTAGGCTTTGTTACGCTTGACAAGCTTCCTCATGCTCTCTCACGCTCTTTCACGCCGTGCGTCAAACATCATGTCTTATTCAGATAGTTCATGCTCTGGTCCATCTGAAATTTATGGATCTTGTTGTTCTGCCATCGTGTTCTCGAGTCAAAGATGCAATGGTTTTATGGATCTACTGCATCTTTATAGGATCAAAAGCGGCATGAAATCGGCGATCTCGACATTTTCCAATGCATGACAGAGCTTAACAGAGCGTAACAATGCACATCAGAGCTTGGCAATCGTATCAGAGCCTGATTTAAAGCGTCATAATCGCATCAAAACGTAATAATGCTTATCAAAGCGTGATTTCAAGCGTAACAAAGCCTTGCCAAAGCGTGAGGAACCTATCAGAGCTATGTTAAGCTTTCCTACGCTTTGGGTCAAGCTTTTCTGAGCTTTGTTACGGTTTGTTCAGCTTTGATACGCTCTCGGCGCTTTAATCAATTCGTAACAGAGCGCCCAAAATTTTTAAACAGTTTAAATTTTTTGGGCGCTCTTGCCGAATATCCCGCTTTACTCCGAGCTTTTCTAAGACCTATTACGACCCCGCCGCTTTAATCAAGCTTTGTTACGCTTTAGTGCCGCTTTACAACCCGCTTTAAAGCGCCATCAAAGCGCCGTTGGTATGAACAAAAATGACAAAGGTGACGGCGCTTTGTTCGCCGATTTAAAGCGTGGCATTCGCCGTTGGTGTGAACATAGCTTAAGTGTTTAGTTTATTTGATGAATATTAAAGTTAAGGCGCTTCAAAGTCATTTTTGAAAATAATTGTTTGCCTCCTGTGTTATTTCAATGGGAGAGGTTTTTTGAAAAACAATTTTGACTTTAAACCCCTATATCTTTGTGGAACCTGAAGAAACATATCAATTTTTTGTTAAAGAAGAGTTAGCAAATTCAATTGCATGCCTAACTCGTATTTTTTGCAAGGACTCGGATGGATAGATAATTTTAGATATTCTGGCATATGACTAGCCTTGCCCAAGTCGGTCTCTTTTACTATCTTGATTTCTATTATGACCGCCTTGTACCAAAGAGAAAGCCACGTGCTTTACCGACTCAATGTTTATGTCGGTAAAATTTGACCAATCAACGACGGCCCTGCAGCGTTAGCTCATTATTATGCACGGTCAAAAACAAGTACACTTTTTACTTTTCGCCGGGACTTTTCACGAACAAACTTGCATGAATTCATCATGAAAATACAAATATTTTATCAGATAAATATCAATCAGAGTTTAGTGGATGCCGGAGCATCGATCGGTAACCGGAGGTGAGATTTCAACAATAAACGTTGAAACGATCGCTGAATTCAAATGAACATGTAGGCTGAGATTCAATCACTGATTTTTTTTTTTTTTTTTTTTAACAAATTATTTATTTCATAATCAAAAAATACACAAAATATCTACTACCAATCGCCATAGGCATTCTAGGTAGTTTAAATTACAATAGAGGATTAATTACAGTAATCATAGATGGTTTATTGGTAATGTGAGAGGTTGGGAGGGAGGGGGGGGGGTTGTCACAAGATACAAATGAGAAAAACATTAATTTGATGGAAACTTATAACAGGCCTGTACAAATTGCATCACTATATCTATCAGGATTTTCTGAGAATCAATAGTGAGTTCATTTTCATAAATTAAGTATTTGACCTGTTCTGTCTTACTAGAAATAAGTTGAGTATCAAACAATAAATTTTGTTCACGAAGTGCAGTCATCATTTTATTACGTTCATGGGTATGGCGAGGGCAGGTTAGAATAAAATGCTTTGTGTCTTCAGTAGAGCCGCAGAGGCATTTGTTGTCAATTATTCCAGTAAAATTATGAGTAAAGAAATGGTCTTTTAGGGCAAAATCAACTCGAAGCCTATTTAGCAGTTTTTCGTTGGTTCTACTTAAATTTAGTTTTGTAGTTGGTATAAAGTTTGAAATAGGGATAAATATCTGTTTAATAGAGCTTTTGAATCTAGAAATGGTTTGAATTTCACGAAAAGTCTGGCTTAGCTGGTTCCAATCATTTATAAGTTTTAAAACTGGTGCTTTGGAGAGTCTCATTGAAATATTTCTTGGGCAGGAAAAGGGTAAAGAGTGTCTTAAAATTCTAGTTGCTTGGTTGCGATGTTGGTCAAAAAGACTATGGACATAATAAGGCACTTCCTTTCTTACAATTTTGAACATCAGTCTTAGATTTTTTTCGTGTATTTTGTCAGTAAGCGATTTCCACTGTAAAACATTTTAAAGTTTTTGAGGTGTTAGAGCCATGCAGTACCCAAGCACATATAACAGCAGCTTGGTAGTGGATTTTATCAAGCTTTGACAAGGCCGCCAAGGATGACGATCCGTAAATGGAGCTACAATAGTCAAAATGAGACGCCAAATATGAATTATACATTATTTCAAGATGGTGCGACTGTATTTTGTTTGATATGAGCTTCAAAGGATTCAACAGTTTTTGAACTTTATTAGACAGATAGTTTATATGGTCATTAAAAGTCAAATTCTCATCTAAGATGAAACCCAGGTGCTTGTGTGATTGCTTTTGGGGGATCATTTCACCATCAAAGTAAAGAGGAGACATTTGAATATTTTTTTGTCGGGTTGAGCGAAAAACTAAATGAGCACTTTTAGATGCTTTAAATTTCAATTGCCTGGTTCTAGACCATGCACTTAAAAGATTTAGGTCATTTTGGAGTTGGCCAGTTTGATTACCAGAAGGGTGAAAGAAAGAGTATAAGGAGGTATCATCTGCATAGATAAAAGTTTTCGAGGTCAGAGTGTCAGGGAGGTCATTTATGTATATCAGAAACATCAGGGGTCCGATTATGGAGCCCTGAGGCACACCGGAGTTTATGAAGTGGTCAGGAGAGAAGTTTGATGTGTGATCATCTACAGTGACACAGACTTTTTGATTTTCTAAGTAAGAATAGCAGAGGTCGGCTAATTTACCTTGAATTCCATATGATTTCATCTTGTGAATGAGTAAGTTATGCGGTACAGTATCAAAAGCAGACGCCACGTCTAAATAAACAGAATTAACACAGTTAACTTTTTCCATTTCGTTAAAGATATAGTCAGTTATTGCTAAAAGTTGTAGCTCAGTGTTGTGTCCTGGAAGAAATCCAGATTGAAATTGATAAAGAAGGTTATTTTCAAGTAAATGCGTTAAAATGCGATTATGCACAACTTTTTCAAAAATTTTGGAAAAAGTGCTTAGCAAAGTAATCGGTCTATAATTCTCAACTTGAGATCTATCAGACTTCTTATAAATTGGAGAAATGTTTCCAAGTTTCCAGCAACTAGGAAATTGGCCACATGCAAAAATCATGTTAAACAATTTTGATAACTGGAAGGATAATGCTTCCTGGGCTATTTTTGTCATTCTGTTATTAATTTTGTCAAGACCACAGGCTTTATCACGATCAAAGGACTGGATTATTTGAAGAATTTCATCTGGATTGGTAGATAAATGGTCAATTGATATTCCAGTTCTATTTGGAAAATGTGGAAGTGCATCGTTATCCACTTGGTTTAAATTATGATCGACAACATGACCCGCTACATTGGACTCGGTCTTGCATTTTCATCGCGAAATCAGTTTTAAATCTATTGCATGATTTAATTTATATTAATGACTCTTACATTCCCTATGTACATTTAATTACATAATA